GGGCTCAGGATCCAGGCCGGATCGACTGGAGAGAAAATTTCTCGACCGGTTGGAATCAGAGAGGCTCCTCTAGGATATGGCAGCGTATCACGAATAAGATTGCGGACATCCGAATCAATCAAACGAGGAAAAGCCGGAATGATTCATCCAGGTACGGTGTTATATCAGTGAGAAACTGCGATTGGCCAACCATCCCAATTCGTTTGTGAATTTGCATACCGGAACGTAGACAAACGGACGTCATTAATTGCTTGTATCCAGCGAGCGCTACGGTTGACTCAGTGGTCGTCACAAGGCACCGAATGGCTAACCGGCCGGCCGGCTGCCTGGATGGATGCGTTGTTTCTGTGAAGGCCGTTTCTGTGTTGGTGGTGGTTTGGAATTGCCTTGAAGTCGTCCGTTAGATAACCGGCCCTGGCCCGCTTTTCTTATCGAGAGGAACGAACAAGCGGACGAAAGAACCAACGCACGCCGACTGACAGATACACACACACGAACTGAACACAAGAACTCATAATGACAAGCAGAGGTCGCGGATTAGCGACAAATAAAAAGAACCCGAAACGAATCCACTAAAATACCGGAACGCTCCGAGGTGCTCATTACGCACCATGTCTTGAGGCTATGCAGTTGCTTGCCGATTTCTCCGCGCTGCATGTCCGACGGCCGTTGCCGGCTTGGGTTCGTAGCGACAGGTGTGAAAAATTCCCGACATCCATCGGGAGCATGATATTATCAAAGCAATGATGATTTCGCAGAATATTGATACTGGACGAGGGACGCTTCCAATTATTGTTTTTCGTGAATATCGATCTCTGCCGATACCGAAGAAATTCCGTTCCTATACTGAATTAAGAAGCCCGGGTTGAATGAGTTGTGAGCTCCAGGAGTTTCTGACCGGATGACAAGTGCACGTCGTAAAACACAGGATGTTTTTACTGTCCGGGTAGTTTTGCCGATCCAAGCAAAGTTGCATCGTATTGTTCCGTTGACGAAGGGTCAAGTGCTCCACCGAACGAGGAAACTCACGAGCTGCTCGTCAAGGAAAAATTCCCCCCCGTTGGATCGTGCCAGACCGGAGCATTCTCCACGAGTCGTATTATCAAAGAGCGTTCCATGCTATCTTTCTCGAAGTTCTCCCGAATAAATCTCCGCCTTGAAAGCGTGTCGAAACCCGCTCTCGACGCAACGTTCGAAATATTCGTCTGTGACCTATTCCAATCAGAAGCATAGTGAAACGTTTTTTGAATGCGCCATCTTCCCAGCCGAAGTCTCCCGGCTGCGAATGTCGAAGGAAAGGCCATCTTCGGATGGCTTCTTTCAGAATCTATCTGTCTGGATTAGGCAACCGCCGCACGTGATGCATCTTCAGCACTACGAATATCAGAAAGAGGAGCCGTTCTATGAACGCCGGCAGTCGCCGCGCTAAGCCGTCCTAAGCTAGAACTTTAGTCACTTGCTCGTTCTTAAAGGTTGCTTGCAGCTCTCAGTTCTAGACTATCAGTAGAATCGGTGACTTGACGCTTACGTGCGATAAGCATTTCGGCAAGGCGATCACGTCTGTGTCATCCCGCTACTTCTGTCCATGACCAAGTCAGAAGCGGGTACGACCTTCTCTGATCTTCTTGGGCCGGCAGATGCGGTGGCTATCTCGCTACCCAGTTAGCGTTACGCAAGAACCTTAGCTGCTGGCTCTTCTTCTTTTCTCCGCCTCATCATCATTCCCTTCAACAACATTACTGATGTCGGGCAGGCAGCCGCGAAATCAGACGACAACGGAATGTCTGTTAAGAGATCAGGGATCCATCTTGATGGGGGCATCGATGTCTTCGGATCACGTCGTATCGTCGTCGAAATTTTCAAGAGACGTGCCGTTATATAATATAGCGGCTTCTGAAGTCAGGCATCCAGAAAGCGAGCCATATCGGCGGCCGAATAACGCCAGAACACCGAAGCGCGCGCGAGGTCAGGTAGTCACCGCATAACAGCTGACCTGAATTCTGAGTAAGGACCTTCGGTAGCTCAATACCCCCGGCGCCGTGCGGGAAGAAAATTACGGCCGCGGTCTACGGTGGCCTCCTGCATTACGGGACCAGAAAAAGTGGTATCCGACGTCGCCACGGCACCGAAAACAACTTCGTTTGCCGCGGGAAAAGTTTGCAAACTTCGAGGCAGACGAGATCGTGCTGTGGGAGCTTTAAATGTCGATAGAAAAGATTCGACCTCTGGTTTGGGAATATCGGGGTTCGAATCCCTGATGGGGATGTCCAGCTGGGAAATGCCGAGCGCGTCATTGTCGGATTGTTTATCGTTCCGTTTCAGCTCAAGTTGTCATCGGTAAACGAATATGCCAGGTCAGTCTATCCCAACGCATTCACTCATTGCTGTGTGTTCACGAAATATGTCGTGGTGGAACAGCCTACTGAGTTGGACTGCTATAAATCACCTCGGGAAACAAGAACTACTTCTTTCGTTTCCGGCGTGTCCACGTCAAATGAAAGGGCTTCTCCAAGGGCGTAGCTGACGCATTCGGAAAATGAGATTACGCCGTTGCTCATCTTGGAGAAGCAATTATTTTCTGAATCCTCTACCCTTCGGATCGAGAACTTGTTCCTCCGGATCTGTCAGGGCTAGAGAGTGGGAACTCCGACACTCCGGGAAACTTCGAGCATTGAAGTCTCGCTGGCGTTCGAGGGGAGTGCTTCTCGCTCAACATAGAATTCGAGCGATTTCAGGAAATCGCTATCATCACACATCCCGGAATTCGAAATCGCGATCGCTATTTCGTGTTGGATACTGCTACTCGTTTTCCAATTCGATCTGTGAACGAGCATATACCGGCTGATAGCAATCCACGAGTCCTATAATCGAGCGAGGGTCACTTCCCGAAGCGGATTTTCGTGGTATCAACTTCATGCGATCCCTGACGGCGGACATTGCTCACCGCTGGAGAGGCTGTGAGCTGTGATTTCTCTCATGGCAGGATAGCGGAGCGGCTGTGGGCTTTGGGACCGTGTGCAACCCCGCGAAAAATAGCATATCTACAGCTAACAAGAAGGATTTGGAGTCTTTTCCCTACGGTGTTTATCGGGCTCATGTCGCCGCTGATCGCATTCACCGGAACCTGTTAGCTAGACCGGACACGCTCTCCCCAGCTCACCCTCGAGTCCAGACAGGACAACGACGCACGTCGGACGGAGCTCGGCTGCTCTTCTCCCGAGAGGAGAGACGGAAACGCGTCATCTCTCATATCAGATAGGGAAATCGACGGAGCGGGTTGAGATAACAAATGTACATATGATCGTATGAATTCAACGCGGGAGACTCAAAAGCCATCCACAATAAAAAATCCGTGTGGTCCATTTTGATGTTACAGGAAATTACCCGGAGCCGCGCGGCTTTGAACCCTCTTAAGCGGTTACTGACCGACTTTCGGCGGCGCCACCAGAAAACTCCAGAATAACCTTCCACAACAGAAGCTGGTTGCACAACGTTCGGTATTGCGCCTCAACGTTCGCCTTACGGTCGAATGTCTGATTCTGATTCAAGAAGTCTTAATTATCCATGGTGGGACGCAACGAAATTCCATGGACTCGACGACATTCGAAACATCATGGAGCCAATGGAACCGGGGCTACCGTCTTGTGGAACCGAACGTTTTTTCGACTTGTGAGCTGATCTCAAATGGGGAAGGAACTCACGTATGGGTACATGGTGATCGTCGCTGGACTTTGGTGATGCTGGTGACCATCGGTCAAGAGAGCGCGCTTCCTCCGAAGACGAATCCGGGGTCGGTGATCGACTCCCCATCGGAGATTCCGAACGTGGCGCTTTTTCCTTGTTCAAAGTGGCTGCGGTGTAATCCTGCACGGCCATTGCGGAGAACTCTCCGGAATTTATCGGCGAACTCGTTTGATTTATCCAAGGGTTGTCGCCGCCGCCGCCGCAGCAGCAGCAGGAACAAGAACACAATTAGTCCAGGGACGGAGGGTGAGGAATCGAGTTGATCACAGTATCTACAGGTGGAGGAAACGGTGTTGAAGGAGCTTGATGGAGGTGGTCGAGGTTAGGAGTAAATCCTAAGTCCTCGTGAACTGCTAGCACATGAGTTTGTCTAGGGTTTTTGTTGTCCCGATCAGAGGAACAAAACAACGGCCGGCCTTTGCACAACCGTCCGGCAACACGCAGACGTTTGGAATACCGTTAGTAGTGTGCCGTCAGTCAGTCAGTCAGCCAGCCAGTCAGTCGGTTGGGCAAGCGCTCCGTCAGAAGCAGCAGCAGAAGTCCCCTCTCCCCGAGCGTAGCTCCCTTCCGAACGGTGCAGAAAGGGAACCAGGGGACTCCTCGGGGACAATGGCCGCATTGGGAAAACACGAGGTCGAGTGGGAGACGACCGATGAGCCTGCAGACAGTCAACTAGCCGGACGAAGGCTAGTTGACATCAAAATGACTTCTTCAGATTATTGTGGTCAAAGTGTGGGAGCTGATGCTTCGACCACGGTCGAGACGGGCTCTTCTTGCCGGAGGACAAATCAAGGCCAACATTCGAGCCGCTGGCCGACAGCCTCCCATACGTTCAGCGAGTCAGACTTCCAGATAGTCACCGACGACATTTGGGTGTTTTCAACGAGGCGGTGATGACCGATGACAACCTGATGATTCTCCGAGAGCGTGGGAATCCGAGACGTTCTTTTTGCATAACCGGCGGGCGCTCCTCTGCCGGCACATGATCGAGAGTTCACCCGGGAGTCCGAGACATGATTTCAATCCGGCCAGCAGCTGGTCATGACATTCAATCTATCGAATTCGTCTCTTCGGACCCATCCGTGGGTTCTTCGGTCGGATTCGATGCATCATTCCGCACACAATGCTTGCTCCTATCGTACATGCAGTCAGAGCTCTCCTCTTGTCGCGCTCTATTCCATCCCGATCACGTCATCATCACACATTCCGTTTCTTTTCGGTGATCCGAGAATCGACCGACATCAGCGCAACGTTGAAATCGGCGGAGGCGAGGAGTGTGGATTCGCGGGGAGAATTTGAATTTTGAGTTTGGAAGACAGTCGAGCCGTTTGAGTCGATTTCCGTTGACTTCGGGTTTGGCTAAGAAACTGCGCACTCGGAGTGGAGACTACTAACGCCCGCGTACGTGTGCCGCAAGTGCGTTTTCCGCGAACAAAACTTGAAAGGATTCTTCGCGAGGTGAGTTCGGCCCATCCGATGATGTGCCGAGGAGAAATCCGCATGGATCTCCGAGAGGTCCACCCTGGAAGCTGCCTGGAGCGGGACTCGGAGACTGGGAGTCGACCCGACTCTTGACCCTCTCGAATTAGGAATTTCGAAGGCCTTTGAGTAGCATGAGTTGTATCCAAATCGTGATCCTATTCTCGAATTGGCATTGTGGGAGCCACGGAGTCCAGGTCCCTGACTTTATTCCGGAGTTTACCCATGATTCGATCTGGTCAGGAGAGTGGCTCTCGCATCAATGGCAAGAAGCGGCATGGTGTCTCAGTCTTCGGGCAAGCTATTCATCTCAGAGAATCGATCTCCATCCGAGACGATTTGTTATTGTTTTGAGATGTCAGACCGCGAGCACGTCCGAACCGAGAAAGACACAACGCGATTCGCTCTCCATGCTCTGGTGGGATGTCGCTTGTCTCGAGTAGCCGAGTTATTAGATGGAGCTGCTCATCGCTGTGCGGTGAAAGATTCAAGTGACATTTCTCAAGTTCCAGATACTCCTCGATCGGCAGCACGATGCGCGTTGAAGAAGTTGAAGATGTTTCGCGCGTGATGAATAATTTGCATTTGGAAGTGTTCGTGCAACCCACGAACCCCTTGCTGCCTCACCTGACGCCCACAGTCGGAGAGAATCCACTCTCATGGAACAAACTCAGCACCATCCACTTCATCGGCATTCAGAGTGTTACCGAACTCCTGAGTAAGGTTCGGAAACGCATCGTCACGCAGCTCGATTCAAAAACTCTCCTCGACATAAGTTCTGCAATTGAAGCGATCCGTATCCCATCTGCGACACTTTTCAACAATACGAGGAGGTTCCCGGAAGGTAAGCCCACAGCTCCGCCTGGAGCGAATCGCACCCCACTCTACGGGGGGGTCGGGGTGAAAGCGGGATGGACAAAGCTCAAATCCCAGCGATTCGCTGAGCCGCCGTCGTGAAAAGTTTCATATAGTAATGGCACCGCGGTGGAGTTGTAAGTGAACTCGAGTTTCGTAACCACGAGCTTCGATTCCAGGTTTGTACGTCGCGTGGATACCGGCCTTGCCCATGGTGCAGTCGCTCTGCTTGCTGCAGAAACTGTGTGTCGCCAAGATGCCAGAGCAACCCCTGACCTGTGCGAAACTTCTCACGGTCGTTGAGAATATTGAAAATTACATAGTCGCCTTGAACATTAAAGGACTCGGCGTTTTCGATCGGGACAAGTTCGAGACGACGGTCGCTCACTGGAAGTTCAACTGGTCGCAGTTGAGCTACCAATACGAAGTCATAGAGAACTGAGGAATCTCAGCAACGCATTGTGTCGCTCCTGTTTTTATAAAAGAATTTATGCCGCATTTATTACCTTAACACTCCCGGTGTTCTCCTTGGATTTCGTGCGATGTCTCCCCCTCTGGCGAAGAAAAAAATTACCGACTCCTGCGAAGGTTTACTAGTAGGCAGTCGCGAGTTTTTTCTGCTCTGGACCCTCGGCTTCCGCTCTCGCACCTCTGCAGCGATTCTGAGTCTTGAGTATTTCAAACTCCTGGGAATGGGTTCTCGACGAAGATTCCCGGGAACCGTAGATCAGTAATCCGCAACTATCTTGCTCGCCCGAGGTTCGTGCCAGTGGCTGGATCAGTTCCTGTTCGGAACGAGTAGAACACTGGAACAACGAGCGCTGCATCAGAAATTCGGTCGGTCGCTAACCTCGCGGGGTCGTTGACTTCGGACGTAACCAGAAGATTCATCAGCGGGCCGCGGAACGCTACGGCGAAGCGTTGAAGCACCTCACTCACGAGAGCACCGAGTACTTTCGATTACGCCGTGCGCCGACCGGAACAGACCCTCTGACCTAGTGCCGAGGAACGAGGAAGGAAAAGGCTTTAGAGTTCCTTTCGTTTTGGGAAGCATGGGATCTCCGCTCGTATTTCCTGCGTGGACGGAAGCGCCCAAGTTTACGAGCAGCGTCCGTAGACTTTATCTCAAGTAGACAGGGCAGTTACGACGGAGTCGGAAATCTGCAACGATCGGAAGTAGATCTACGAATCGCGGCTGTCCGAGCCTCGGAGCTATCGAGGGCATGGTCGAGCGCGATAAATAAAGTTCCGATCATGGGCCATCTCGCCGGTTTCCATCGAGGTGTCTCGATGTCGCGGGAAAGCCATTAGCCGAAAGGATGACAGCTTGAGTGCACGTCTCTGCGTTCACGTCTGATCGCTTTCCAAGGTGGAGCATGCAAATGAGATAACCACTCAAGACATTCGGTCCCTTCGGATCGAGTGTGTGTGTGCTTGTGTTCTTTATTGACACACGTGACGCCGCTCAGGCGACAACGATGACGCGCGTCACTATTGAGAATTGGTCGTATGCACCCTGCAACATTCTGGAAGACGACGTCGCTCGGCGGCCTCAATGCCGCAAGTGTGCCATTGTTCTCCCTTCTTCCATCCATCCGTCGGTCCGGCTGCCTTCCATCTTTGAGTCCGTGTGTCTGAGCGCGCCCGTCTGGAAGAGAACGTCAGTCGTAGGCCGACGTCTACGCTGGCTCGCCGGTTGGCGACGGCAGCGAACGTTCTCTGGTCCCTCCCCGGTCTGTCTGCAAAATGGCGATTGTCCGTTGCTGTGTCCAGTGTTGTGGCCAGAGAATCATCACAACCGTAACCCAGAACAGCTACTCGTAGATCATCGACCCATCCAGGGCTTTGACCCGGAGGATCCGGATGGGAGCCACCGGGAAGGCTTGTAGGTTGACTGGCGTTGGATGGAAGCTTCACAGCAAGCCAGCCGGCAAGTCAGCGGGCCGACCAGCAAGCGAGCCCGCCAGTCAGCCAAGCGGCCGATCAGCTGCTCTGAGGGGATGGTGACTCTTCATGACGTCATCCAACCGCTCGCGCTTTTTCAGAGCCTTCGCGGGCCTCGGACGGAAGCTGGTGCGGATCATCTCCCGTAGACCCTCGGTTCCTCTGTGAGATTCCTTGCTCTGAATCCCGCAGACCGCACTTGATTGATATTCCTGATAGAGAAGTGAGTGCAACGACCGTCGCTCGCGCATTCCCGGTTCCCGGACCGCATTTTATCTCGAGAGCGTAGGAGAGATACTGATCCCGGAGATCGGGAAATCCTCTTCTGAGTTCGCGAGGAACCTCTGGGAGACCCCTTTCTTTCCGAATCTTCGTGGAATCAGTCTCTCCCGAGCTTCGTGGAATCAGTCTCTCCCGAGCTTCGTGGAATCAGTCTCTCCCGAGCTTCGTAGTCTCGTCACTCACTCAGATATCTCCCTCGAGTTTCGGGTGCGAGCTTCGCTGACGCCATTCACCGAAAGCCTGACGTGTGGCGCGCCGAAAAAGAGAAACGGCGAAGAAAGCTTGAGGAAGCTTGCGAACAGCTGCTTCCGTCCGTTCAGCAGATACATGATGCTGCTGCAGAGGAAAAGTGGCAACTTTCTCCACCGCCGCCGCCACCAACACCACCATCATCATCTACGCTCAGAAGCTCCATCTCCTGCACCGGAGTCACAACCCAGAAACGTCGGTCGACGAACCCTGTCTGATGATGACGACGACGACCAGAAGACTTCACTCGATGTCTATGACCGCTAGCGGAAAACACGAAACAGGGAAAGTCGCTCGACTCACTAACGGCAAATGAAAAAGAGGAAAAAGCAAAAGGGATGGATTGTGCAGCGGCTCGCTCGGCGGCTGGAGCTGCTCCACCTTTCAATGAAGTCATATAGACCACAAGTGGACCGCGCGGACAAGTGGCCACAGACACGCATACCCTTCCGACTTTCAGATTCCATGAACTCCTTTTTCGGTTGGGAGACCATGAACTTCGGAATCGACACATGGATCCCGTCGAGCCGGAAATCGCGTCTCCCGGCTCAGAAGAGTCGCCTTCTGGAAAAATTGAACAGCGTGGGTACCTGGTCCTGCTCCCCAGGAGACGAATCAGTCACCCCTGGGGGAACTTCTGGAGACTCCGATAGACGTGAGGGGATGCGGAGAGCTCCGATTCGTCCAGAGCCGATCCCGACCTCTTCGAGATTCCAGGGTAAGCCGAAGTCGTCTCATGTAAATTCTTCCCCTTAGGTGCTTTCCCCCACGTTCACGTGAACTTCCATGTCCGAGCTCCAGCTTCCAAGCTGAGCTCGGATTCCCCGGTTCCAGGTCCGCCGCTTTCCGCGCTACGGAGAAGTCGAGGTCTCCGTCGTTGCCAGATATCACTTGTCGCATGGAGGGATTCAATTTCAAAGTGGTCTGGAACAAAATTGACAATAAGCTTGTTCCATGCGAGCCTAGATTTCACGGCCAGCCAGAGTTTCCAGTTGTGTGATTTTCAGTTCAGCACGAAACCACAAGAGGTGGGCAGAACTGCCAGAAGAAAAAAGAAAGATCGCACGCAGCCGATGTTTACTGACACACATTTGCCATCCATAGAGAAGAGTGGACGGAGCGGATTCGGAGCGGACGCAGCGACACAAATGCCGTGACTTTCTGACAGACAAGTCTTGGGGCACCTCATAAGCCTCTGTGTCTGCTCGTCAGTGAAGGTATCTCGGAGAATATTTCCAGAGATTCCTCCAGAGCAAGGGTGGCTTTAGTTGAAGCTGAAGATATCGGCAGAACGACGATCGGATATGATATCATTCATTGCGTACATGATTAGTTCTCGCTTGGAAAAATTCACGAACGTCGCGGGCGATACCCTCCCGGCGGTATGGCGCCGAGCCTCCCCACGGAGTTGAAGATTTCCCGTCGACATTCGGACGGTGCGTATTCTGGAAAGTCGCGTCACCCTCCCGTGCGCAGTGCGCGGAACATCCGAAAGGTGAACGCTCGAGTCGTCGAACTTCTTGCGACAGAAGAAAATCACAATTCTTACATTTTTCATATGAATCAACACACCCACCATCCGGCACAAACACTGACTGAGTGAGTGAGTCTTCGATCTTTGTCCGGTGTCGTCAACGGCTTCTGTACAGGAGCGACTCCTCAGAATTCGACAGCGTCAACCCGCTCCGGGGTTCTGTTCCGGAATAGACTTCTTCCAACGACGCGGCAGCCGGATCTTGAGAGCCGATAAGCGCTGAGCCTTCGACGTCGGGAATCATAATCCTCTGGCTCCATGTTTAGGCGGGAGCCGTCATCGAATATGTCGATTTTCACCCCGAAGTGATTCGCGCAAGAATGTCCAGCGGGCGATGATCTATTTCGAAAAGATTCGGTGCGGCGACACAGTTTCGTGTGTCATCGCTCGCGCGACAGATGTATCTCTCTTAAACGAATGTAATTTTCTTAATGGCAAATTAATAAGCGTAATCCTCGCCGCGACCACACGGAGTCTCTCCTGATAGACACTTGACATGCGTGCGAAGGACCGTTAGGAGCCCGAGAAGTCCTCTTGCTGAACTGGAACGTTCCCTCGAGCTTCTGCAGGAGTGTCTCCAGGCATCCGAGCCTCGAGAAGAATTATTCCCGATTAGGATGAAGATCGGTGTTAAGCATCCTCACGGGATGCTGGGACTCTGAGTCGCCAAAAACTCGCAGTCAACACGATCCGAGCTCCGGATGGGCCGGATGGAACCTCCGGATGGAGCGGTGATGCTCATACCCTCCAAAAATCGAGGGTTTCGACTTCGAGCGAGGTTGGCAACCGAATCGGGACGTCGAGAGGCTTCTCGATCGAAGTCGACTCAGAGAATGTCCTTCGCCGAGCGGTCGCGAGCGGCTTCGCAAAAGTCGGTCCTTATCTCCCAAGGAAGCTTCCATTGTTGTTGTAACAGGGTGCCGGCGTCCCCGCCAACCCGCGCGTCTTGATCTTCTGGGGTCGGCGGCCGTGTCCCGCATCGCGGGTTCAATGGCCCGTCTATTCCTCTGCTGGGGATTTCAGAATCGTTGTGTTCCGTATTCGGAAAGATCCCCTCTCGCCGCCGCCGCCGCTTATCTACCTACTTCAATCGCGGCCCCTGAGTCTTCCTGAGTTACCTACGCGAACTTTCCGTTCCATTCTCCTCGGCGTATTTTGTGAACCTGTTCCGAAAACGATGAATCATGAAACCGGAGGGAGATCCGCGTCCAGCGGAACTCCATCTCCTGTAGCCACGGAAGCTTATTCGCGATCAGAAGAGCCCAGAAGAAAGGTTGCGATATCGTGCATTCCGTCTCATTGACGGTTCCCGCAGAGACGCTGTCTTCTTCACTTGTACGCTTCGTCAGTAGCAGAAGTGCCGTCAAAGCCATCGATATGGTACTACGGAGCTATCGATCTTGTCATTCCAGGATCAGTCTGAACTGAGTGAGTGACTGACAGGCGATCGAATAGAATGACCTCGCTGTTCATCGAGTCATCGAACGACAAGCGCGCTAAACGAGACGAGGTATTCGTTTTGGACTGAGCTATTGTCCTTGTTTGCGATTGCTGGAGAGCCTGGACACATTGTCGGTGACCGTCGACTCACCGCATTGGCTTATCGCGATTAGACGCTACCCATCGGTTCGATTTCTCTCAAAGCATCGCCGACAAGAAATTCCAGAATCCGGACGGATAAGAGACAGATCTATCGATTCCCGCGCGCTAACTGAGCCGAAGCCTCGCCACAATGACGCTAATTGAGGCACTCTCGAAATCGAGACTCGGAGCGGTTTTCGGATGTTTTTTTTCCTTTCCCGTCTCCTTATTTCCATTCCGGCGGATACGGGAAAACGACTCGCTGTGGCTACATGAGGGGAATATGGACCGGCCGTTGGTCGAAGGGCTGAACCCGCTTATCTAGAGCGGCCGACGCACGGTCGTTTCATGGGAGAGCAAAGATGGGGCCATAGGGTCTTCAACCTCGCCTCGTCTTCGGAGCTCTCGGAGTCGTTCTCTCTTTCGCTCTGTCTCGTCCGTGCTGTGAGCTGCGAACAATGAGCATCCCAGGTGGAATTCACCAAGGGAAACTCTCGGAGACACCATCGGACCTCGATATGCGAGAATCATTTGAGCCCGACTGGCTGATGACGATTCCATACTAAGTAGCACTTTGACCATGGAAGTGTAGCTTCTGACATCAGAGCTCCATCGGGCCATCAGCCTCATTAAGCAAGCACATGATTGTCGGCATCTGTCTCCGGGTCTGACTGCCACGGTCTACGTGACCGAGCCGTGTCAGCGTACTCGAGACTGATCTCTAACAAGTCGAGGATTCTCTCCGAATATCTGAGGGGACCCCACGCGGAGGCTCGAGCTCCATCTCACTCGGAAGCATGAGACGTCCGTTCGATTGTAAAGATTACTATCCGTCGGCTTCAGTCTTATCCCGATTTTCTTATCGGCTTCTGTGGAATCAATAGTTGTGGCACTTGAGAGTCTAATGTCAATCGTTGTAAGCTCGCTGACCTTCCTTTCATTTTCCTTGACTTCTTCCGCAGTCCGCGCTCTGCTCGCTATTAACGGAGAGCAAAACCGACGTTGTCGTCGTCGTCGGTGGAGTCGTGAGGGATCAACGCACGCTGGCGTTGTTACACTTGCCGGTCGTTGGCTTCATCCCAGAAGTCGACGATCCAGAAGAGGCAACGGTTGAAGAAGGACACCTCGCTCTATCTTTCTTCTACTTGCTTGCTTTCTTGGCCGGAGGTGAACGCTCTGCACCAGGAAGTGGGACGGAAGATGAAGAGGGAAAACAGAAAGCAAAAGCTCAACGGGAAGAGCTCCGAGCCGAGAAGACATCGACCTCTCAAAGGAACGAACGAATAAACGGATGGACGAACGAAGAAACGAACCAGCCAGCCACCACTTCAAGAGCGGCGGTGGCGGCAGCAGTGGCGGCAATTCGGCACAATGAATGCAAAACGCTGGCCGGCGGATTTCGGGGTGTTGTTGCAAAGCCGCACTTAGCATCATCAACAACAACAAACCCTTGAGGTTTCGTTCTCTTCCCTCATCAGAAAATAAATTTCTGGAAGCTCGTCACGGATATGTTAACATACAGGAGTTTTCCGAGCAACAGCCTACGAACCCGAACGTCCTGGAAACATCCAGTTGAGCGTAACGTGAGGGGCTCCCCTCATAGGGTTTCACCCCGGTCCCGGGATTCGTACGCGATTCGATTGGAGCAAGGATGATGAATAATAATCTTTCTCAACTCCATCGCTCTGGAGGTGCGATGATAGACTTCAATAAGTTTCGATTATTTATCACTGTCTATCGATACATCTGCAGCGAAGTTTATTGAGCCTGATCCCGAGAGGCTCCGACATGGAGACAAGACCGACGCGACCACCTTGGAGAACTCGACGCAGACGACCTACAAGAGGACTTGGAGGCGGATCGATCGCCGCCGAACCTTTAGATTCGAACTGATGCCCAGGAGCTCGACCTCACGTTTTCACTCCTTGACTCCTCGCTGGAGTCCATTGCCCAATCGGGAGGGAAATTCCTTGCCAATAGGTTATCGCGTGCCTTGAGTCGCTGCCGCGAGAGTCCGGAGTGAATCGAGGCGAAACGGTGTCGGATCTTGGACGGGAAATTCTTCCTCCGACTTGACAATCAACAAATACCCATGCAATCGATCCATCGGTTCTGTTATCTGCAGCATGCTCTTCGCAGAAAACTGCTTGCGAGGAGCAACGCTCGCAATGGCCGCGCTCAAGTTCATCTTGATCAAAATCAAAGTCGAGACGACTAACTATGGGAGGCTCGGATCCAGCTCCGACGCTCCTCGCGCTGATCTATAAAACCGACGATATTCGAGTGATCGATGCTGAGTTAGCAGAGGCAAGTGGTCTCTCCGGACGTGAGCCGGAGCGCGGTTCGGAGAATGCGCATTCCAAAAGCGTTCCAGATGTAGTAGCGAAGGAGACATGAAGAAGACGTCGATCTTATTAACAACTAACGCCGACTTTTTCTCATTTATTTACAAATATTCGTTCCGTCGTCATTCAAACTGTTTCTGCAGAGTCTAAACCCGATCTCAAATAGATTTTCAATGGCAGCTCCGACATCGACTAATCCAGTTCGTAATAGAAACATCTGAGGTCATTATCCCGACCATCTCTTTGTCATTCATCCAGATATATATAATATATAAACGAATGCAACATTGCTTAATGGTCCAGTTTGCATCTCGTCGCTTGATGGCTCATTCCGCATCCCCTCTCGGTCTCTAGATCGTATTGTTGGAAGGAACGTTTGGCGTCTGCTGCTCCTCGGTCAGAGCAAACGATTGCTGTCTAATGTCCTGGCATGGATCGCCTTAACGGAATTCGTGAATGTCTCTGCTAGTCACCTGCGGGACCATCACCATTGTAGATGCCCCGTAAATTCGTTCACCATAGAACTACATGCTGTTGTTCGAAAGGACGCGAGCCTATCGAGGAGGTCTCCTCTGATTAATACAAACGATGGATAATATATTCACATGAGGAAAACTCGATCAAGTATCGGACTTGCATCGAGTCGATGAAGAGACCTCCTTGAGATTTGCTTATCTACTCTAAACTTCTTTGGGTGACATTCTGCAGGAGTTCAATTTATCGAAGATTTCAGTGACGCTGAGCAAGTACTATTCACATCATGAGGTCGCGACTGCTGATTCGAGGCTATCATGTTCCTTGCAATCATTGAAGATCGCTCGCAGGCTTGTGTCTCGGTCGCTTTTATCATTCATCATGTCGTAGTTATTGTTGTTCTTCTCCTCATGGAGTCGTCTTCACAATGCGCGAGAAGTACAGCAGTTGTCAATAATCAGCTGAGTTGTATCATTTCTTGATGGACATAGGACTGCTTTGCGTATGTGAGCATACATCAGCGAGTGTTCCCGTGGAAATCGGTCCCGGTTGTGTGCCCTGCGCGCACGTGACCATCATGTATGCTTTCTCTGTCCGTCGCCGCTTCTTCTTGTTGCAAATTTTCACGGCGCACAGCGACATTATGATGGCAACCAGAAAGAACAAAATTCCACCGATGATTCCTAAAAGATTGTCAATCACCCCTTAGTATGACTTTCCTCAGTGTGGAATGAATGGGAATTGGGAATGAATTCTGCGATTCTGGAAGAGTCCCGGTTTCAATCTCTCGCTTCGAAAGGAGGGGGTCATTTTCCCGCATACCTGATAGTATGGCTTGTTGTCTTTTCTTCGTGTTCCGCTCGTTCTCCGCGAGTAGTAAACTGATTTCCGGAGACGGTTGAAAAGCCCCCATCAGCGTGTAGCCAACAACTCGAATAATCAACTTGTGAGCGTGCGTTGGATAGTCGGTCACTGGAACAGAATACAATCGGCCTTGAGTTCACACCCGGAGGAGGAACGAATACAGTTGGGGACTATCGATGGGAACAGCCGCGGCGAGCTCTCCGATTTTCAGCATAGAGATTCGAAATTATCCGTAGAACTCACAAATGTACTGCATTCTCTGCATCGCCTGATTTGGCCCAGGAACAATGTTGGACTTCGAGCGCGTCCATGCATTGCTCGATTCCAGCTTGTACTCCACGGTGTAGTACGCAATCGGCACGCTGGAATTTTTCGGTTGTGACGGAGGGAGCCACGATACGTGTATGCCCGTTTGACTCGGTTGAGGCTCTTTGACGACCACGCTCTGAGGCTGTGGTGGTTTCGGACCTGACGGCGTCCGATTCACGGTTGGTATGTACGTGGCTCCATACGCATCCGTTGGGTAGGCGCCTTCGATGTAATTCCACTCTGCGAAGGATGTTGTTAGTCTTTTTTGAGCGGTGGATCGGGAATTTGCTCTTTCTTCGGAAACTTTCGTGGCATTCCGGAAACATGAAGAGTGAATTATTTGCCCTTCTGCAATATCATGGGAACAAGTCATACGAAAACTCACTGCTGGTGTTGGCAAGGATCTTCTCACTGAAATACCCGTCGCCGAAGGCGTTCCGGGAAAGAACTTGGAACTCGTAGGTTGACTCTGGCTGAAGATTGTGGATGGTAAGAGACACTGCGTTCTCAGGAACGACACGTATCGTTCTCCAGTCGACATCTTCTTGATGGGCTAGCCGGTACCAAATGATGTATTCCTGCTTGTGTCCACCGTCGTAGCCAGGCAGCCAGGACACGGTTGCCGCGAAGGCCGACGTGTTCACTGACACGTTTGTAGGTGCGTGTGGGGTAGTGCTTTCTACAAGCAGCAAACTGGACGTGACGAGCGTGGCCACTTCATTCTGGATGATGCACTCGTAACGGCCGTGGTCTTCTTTCTGGATGCTTTTCAAAGTCAGATTGCCTTTGGGAATGGAGGGGGAATATATGTAGACGGCTGCGAACCCTTGACGTCGTTCGTCGGGAGTGACGATTTGACGCCGATTCGACACAACGACAAAGCTTTCGATAGAGTATGGCGGAAATCCCTCTACCTTTATTTATCAGGTGCCGTTGTTTAGGCAGAGATCGACCGTCGGCTCTCCGCCACGTAACCGTTGGCTGCGGCTGCCCCCTGCCTTCGCAGCTCATTGATATTTCCGTATTGCGTGGCTGCTGGTATATTTCCTTTGGCTTCAAACTGAATATAGGGGGTTCCCGCACGAGTACTTCCATGATTTTTGAAGCGCCACCCGTCCCGTGTATGTTGAAAGGTGAACACAGATATCGACCCTGTAGAGGAATAGGATGTCTAGGAATGTGGAGTGCGGAGTATGCTTCGGTCTGGGCTTAAGCAGGGAGCGCTATGAAACAGCTTTTCATCGCTGGACCCTTCCACGCAGCGCCTTGCCTGGATCGGTGGAGGACAGACAGGAACAAAGAAAAGACTAATAGAGCTTCCCTCTCTCACCGGCTATTGAGTGTCGAACTCTCACCTGATGTTCATGCGTGACATTTTGAAAATACAAACTCCCGTTGTTCAACATGACCAAATCACTCATGGTGTTAGCATCAAACGGCCGCCGGTCTTTGAACCAAGTCACGAATTGAATCGGCGGATTGCTCTGGATGAAGCATCGGATCATTCCAGGTAGATGCAGCGGCATGTATTGGAAGTTGGGTGTGAAATTCACCCGTGCAGGGTATTCCACGTTTAGGTATGCAGTGGCGGTGTCGGGTTGGCCGATGCCTAGAAATAATTCAGAGAGTCCAGTTATGAATTGAGAACGACAGGTCTCGGGATCATGTATCCTCTCATGTTTTCTAAAGGAATCGAGAGCCTCGTCTTAGTACTCAGTACCACTATACTACTTAAAAAGCTGGAATATTCTCGAATAGACAGACGTTTCAACGAGGGAGAATCGTATATTCGACCATCCCCGCAGAGCGTGTGAGCAAGCGACACGCAAGACAAGACTCTGCAGGGACGGATACGGCGAAGCTCCTAGGGGACTCGCCGTCGTCGTGGGGACACTTTGGCACTCGGCGAAAAGCAGCGGTTCGTTTTCCTTTTTCTATTTCGAGTTGCAGCTCTGGTAGCTACTGGGACATCCGCTCGGGTCAAAGTCGGGGAGCGAAACTATGGGTGTCTGTTCGGGGCAGGGTTTCGCGAGAAAGGGGCTCGCATACGGTCACACGAGGCAGCTGAGGGGTATAACTTTAGCGACTACAGGCCGGAAAAGAATGAAACGAGCAAAAGAGAAGCGGGGAGAGAGTGAGGACCGAGGGAACGGTCGTCCGAGAAACCCCGGCTGGCCACTGAGAGCGCATTCAGTAGTTTGAGCCTTTGTCAGAGTAACAAGCGTGTCACGTTTAATGAGCTTACGCTGCTTCCTCCCAGAGTACTGAAGCATGAGGGTCGAAACAAGACAAAAAGGACATTGACTGGAGCCCGAATCGTAGTCCGCACGGTTCGCTGTCCTCGACTATTCATTCCGCCGCACGGCTCCGAACTCCGAATTCGGCGCAAGCGACCCACAAGTCACTCCGACAATTCGAACGGCAGAAAAATTGAATACAGAGCTCTGCCTCCTCCTCTTTCCATTCCATTGCTCCCTCCAGGATTCTCGTCTGGAGGACATCCAGTGAAATTTGATTGGAGTTCGTTGTTATTGATTCGGAATCATTCTCAATGATCCAATGATCAAATCTTCAATGATTGGATTCCAACGAGGAGGAGCCGAGGTCGTGGAAATGGCGAAGTTCGTGGCGACGGTGCGAGGGGCCAAATGACCGCAAGGACCTAGGATTCAGCTATGAATAATTCCCACAGGCTCACCGTATGTGGTCTGTGTGTTAGGGGGGTGGACGTAGACGCAGGCTTCCTTAGCAGACTGCATTATACATGGATACCAAGAAGTCGTCTATCTAAGCCGAGTGCCGGTAGGGGAGTTCCTCGTTAAAAAGTTACTTCGTGAGCTCCCAACCGAACGTGTGAGTCGGTGTGTGATTCCGCGAATGAGTCTGCTCCAACCTGGTAAGAATACTGACCATTCGAAATTTCGCAGGTGTACCATCCGGAATCTTCCGCAGACGTGGGATATATGAACAGGGTCCCGTCTTGACGCAGAAGGATCCGTGCGTGGAGCCAGCTGACCTTGGCTATATCGACGCCATTATAGAGCCACCTGCGGGTTAGACAACATGGGCATTAGCAACAAACGCTTCGACTACAACGAGAACATCACTTTCCCGTGCTTTATAGCCCTGATTTCTCTTCCCTGCTGCAGCTGTTCCGCTACACCATTGTGTGTTTTTTATCGACTCCTTCTGCACTAAGAATTTGTGAGGGGTCACGGCGGTTCCTTTCCGTCGAGTCAATTTGTTCCTCAGGGCTGAAGCGGAAAGTCTCCTTCGCCTAGCAATACTCGCAACATCAAGGCAACTCCGTTCCCTCCCGTGGGTACACTAGCACACGTTGCGGGCGCTAATACGACCCGAGCCGCGTCTGCTCGCTCCTCCAAGTAGGCAGCGATTCACACCGGAACTCTTCCCGACCTCTTTCGAAGTCTGCACTCGGGTATTCCCGGGAAGGTCATCACGAGGTCGTCGAGCGCATCGCGAAACCTATCCCACCGACGCCAGTAGCTCGTCTGATTTGAGACTTACGAAAAAAATTGAAATGAGGACTACTAATTAGGTCTGTGCTCGGTCTGGAGCGGAAATGCAGCGGTTGATCCGCTGATCGGGGCGGCGACCAAGCTGGCGCTGAGAGTGTAACGGCCCCTACTTTCCGGTGCACTGGCGTTGACACTTTCGGGAATATACGGCCTCGTAAACCTGAGATTACGTATGGTAGCCGACTGCGATCAGCGGATTCTATGGGCCTTGCTTGTCGACTACAGGCCTTGGTATTGGATTGTCTATTGCTCGTCGTCCCTTCTCCCCCCTGCTCTGCTGGTCTGAATGCCACACAGCGACGGGCGAGAGGACGCTCGCAGGTATAGGATCGCCAAACCGGCGGACGGGAAACGATCCCGATGTACCGAAGCGCAGGGGGCAAGGAGGGGGAGGAGGGTTGGCAGGCGTTGCACCGTAGTTTGCTGTGTCAAAGACAGTCGAAGACAACTCACCGGTGAGTGATGTTAGCGGGAAGCGCTTTGGCTTCGCAAATAAACTCGGCATGATTTCCTTCGAGCTTTGTGAGGTTGGTGGGGGGCGAGGTAATCACGGCGGGCCCGGCGATGATCACCTTCGAGCTAGTGCTGACTGAGCCTTGTGAGTTTTTAGCCACGCAGACGTATTCGCCGACATCTGTTTGGCGCAGAGAACCGATTTTGAGTTCAGTCTCCGTAATGACGACGTGCTTATCGATTCCTTCCTCGACCAGCTGTCCTTCCTTCTCCCAGATGAGTTGGGGTGCGGGCGTACCTGGAATGTGAAGGGGAAAACTTTCTTAAAAATCGAAGCGGGAAACTGCAAGTGACTCCCATCGCTCCATGGGAATTCGAAAGCGCAGATCCTCGACCGAGATGCGCGTCCTGACCTCCCTTCGCCGCTCTCACTCCGCCTCGTGTGAATTTAGTCAAGCTCAGGAGCGAGGGAATCGTATTCGACAGAAGAAGAACCCCCTGGGATTTATCGGGATTCGGTTCTGGTGCGAACGCCAGTGGAGACTCGGGGAGCCGCGTCCTTCTTCCCGTGTCCGAGAGGGGGAAGGGAAACTGGGAAAGCTGACAACATATTGAAGAAGTACATCAGAGGAGACAGTGCGTGGATGATGTGGGACAGGAAATGGAGAACGGAGTTCAGTCCAGTCGACGTTCGCCATTGTCCTGGAGAGGGTCACGGCAGGAGCAGCAACAGCGACGAAGACGACGGCGGCGGCGACGTCGGTCACAATGGACATGGATATCGAGCGTGTACGGCGACAACGGAAGCAGAAGAATGAAACGGGAAAAATACCGAAGAAAAGAGACTCCGGGCGAGGTCGCTCCGTGGTAGATATATACCTACCTACGTCGCTACAGACAAGGACAGTGTGGCCGAGCTGCGACCGGTGCCGCTTTTTGCGGGTCACCCGTTCGTGTGAGACTATTGGAGACAAAAGCGACCATGACAAGCAACGAGCGAGCAAGTGACCGATCTATTCGACCGGCCAGACAAGCGTATAAGGAAAAGGACGACGCCCGAACGAGGCAGGCCATGAGCGAGAGAGGGAGTCTTCGCAGGAAAAGTGTTCCGTGCCGAGAGTTTCGTAATTGAGAGAAGCTACCGCCTGCCAGTCTTTCTTTTGTCGCACTCACGAACCACAGGAGCGTGATTGCGTGAAGTAGTTAATTATTTGTTTGCCTTTTACGTCGCTTGCTCTCCGGTCGGCCCACCTGCCTGCCTGCCTCCGTCCTCGTTCTCCTCATCCTTCGAGCCCGCTAGCCGCCATCGTCAGCATCGGAGCGAACGAGTTAAAGAGCGAAATTGTTCGTCACTTGCTCATTAACGTTCGACATTTGCCGGCTATGTGACCTTCTCTATGGCTCGCAGTACCAGCTGCCGCGTCCTTCGTACATAGGAAGCTGATGAAACTCACCGTCTGCCTTGCAGGGGAGCACAAGAGATTCGCCCACCTTAACGTAGAGAATTTCAGGTGGCTTTGAGCGGAAGTGCGGTGGAGCTAAGACGTCGAGATAAATCCAAGTGCCATTTTTCATGGTTTCACGGCTCAGGAAAAACACCTGCAATCAAAGTAAGACTCTAGGTCAGAGAACTTTCCCGTGCACGCTTCGTGTAGGTCTACCGTGCCATCTCCCGAGCGAGGAGTCGGAGGAGCTTCCCTTCTGCTCCATGGAGCCTTCATGAGCTGCATAGACTCCGATCACAGGGAGCTTCTCGGTGGGGATCCGCGCATTCGGATCGACGGCGCAGTATTTGGGAACCCATGTTCATTGTGGCGTGCGAAGGGTCGATTTTGTCGTGGAAGATGCTCGTCCGTCACTCATTCTATTCCTTGTTCCTATTAAACTGGTCTCTCTGACTGAGGAGTTGTATTCACGGAACGGAGGCCGCCGATATGGTCGACAACGGCTCCTGCCCCGCTCGGTTAGGACGAGGCTATCCGAGCTCAAAATGAAGACGAAGTTCCCTTGCACCGTTGGGCCCGTTGAATAATTCTTCCGTGCTCTCTGGCTTTCGTAGCCTGCTACCGTCGCTGAGCACATACATAGAAGGAAGTGAGTTGAGAACGCAACGCGCTTGTCTGGATGCCTCCGGTAGACAGCCCGCCTGCTGCTTTCCTGGCAGAGTTTCCTCGTCCCCGAAGAAAGAGCTTGCGACACATCTACCCTGTGTCTTTGCGCCGCCCGGCTCACTGAACTCCCGCGTTGCCTCGTTCGTCGTCCCGTCGCTCCGGCCAAGGTGAGCTCCATGACCATCTCTCAGGAGCGCTCTAAACTCAGTGGAGCGACGGTAAGAGCCGAAACCGCAGAAACCGCAGCGACCGTCCCCGTCAGGTAACATCCTTGGCAACCACCTCCTGCCCCCACGGGCCGACCGGGCCCTGGCCTCGAATCGGGCTTAAGCTCCTCGCACGCTCCCGCTCCAGACAAGAGCTGGAAATATATTTCATAGCGTTTTCCACCGAGCAGATTAAGTTTCCGACTTTTCCTGGGTGTCCCGCTCTCGTTCCATACTGCGACCGAACCTCATGAGTCAGCTTGAGCAAGTTGCTCCTGTCAGAGACTGGGTGGTCGTGAGTCGTGATCGACTCGCGGACCACTCGTGCTGACCGAGTCCAGGGACCACGGCGTCAACTTGGACTGTTTCGTCAGCTGAGCAGAAATTATTTGCCGCGGACTTCCGCCGAGCTCTGTACGTACATACAACACCATAGTGCAGCGAGCATCTCTTACAACAACTCCTTGATTTATGGTCTGCTCCAATGGTGGCCATCGGTCTGCCCGGAACGCACTCTCTGCCCCCTGTCGGACCGACAGCGTGGAAGTATAGGAAAGAAGCATGCCGGGGAAAAAAGTCGCGGCCGGAGAGAACGCGCGTATCGCCATGATGTGTGGATTCTCGGCCCATCCTCAGAAAAGAGAGAGTGGGGGAGGGGGCCGGAGCAGTCGGCGTAATTCTTTCTCTCGCGGAAAGCATCCGACCGAGGTGCGTAAACTACATCGAACAATATACCTGGATCGCCGGGAAAGCAACGATCCGATAATTTCCTCCGGTCGGTATCCCTCGTCGAATTGTCTGACTTGTGAGATGGATACGGTTATTATCGATTACGAATCGACATCTTCCCAAAAGAAGACGTCCGGCGCAGCATTCCAATGACCGGGCGACCTCGCTAATGTCTGATTCCGCCTTCACAGCTTCCTCCTGGTTGTCTGGTTACGTCACATGCAGCGTTGATTAATCACTGTGATTAGGCTCCTGCTTGCAGCCGAGCGAGCTTGGCGCTGTCCGAGAGAAGTCGCCATCGAGCAGCCCGGAGCATCCGAGTTTGGGTGCTTCATGCAGAGACTGACTGAGCGGAGCCGGGTTCGCGAAGAACACGAAACCCCTACGGAAAGTTCTGTTGAATCGCAGAACCTCGACTCGTACGATGTAGAAAATCGTAAAAACCAGAGTTTGGTGGTTTATTGGAGCAGACGGACGGACGGACGAACGGGCCGGCGAGTGAGTGAATGAGTGAGTAGGTAAGTCCTGAGGATAATGGTCGTTCTATCTCCCGCTGAAATCACCACTATTGAGTTACTTCTACGCTGCACGGTGAGTTGCAGCGAGCAGGGATTCCTCCCGACTCCGAGGAATAGTTTCCTGCGGGATACAAGAGCAGGAACGGAGGGAGTCGTGCCGGGCCCCGCTATCTGCTACGCTCGCCAGACGGGCGTCGATGAAAGATTGACTTCGCAAAGAGTGCGAAAGGTAGACTGGAACATCCAGGCTCAGAGCCCGCTCCGCACAACGCCGACAAGAACAATATCAGCGCTGCAGGGCTACTCCGATCATTCAAAGGAACAGACTGTCGCTTGCTGCGACGACGTCGACCCGGGCTTCCGGAGCGGTAGCGGAAGGGCTACCAGCCGACACGCTTCTTTAGGGGGAGAAAGCTCTCGAAAGAGTCTCTTTGGACAATTTCCCGCATCTTCTATCTCCAGACCTCGGGCCCGAGGACACGTCCACTGTGAGTCGAGACGGCAGGGATCTCCTGCTTGAAAATGACAAGCCGAATACAAGGGAGCCCGAAAAGAGGACGGGGTTCAACTCTATGAGATTTTGTCGCAGAAACCGTGAGTCTCCCACGCCGGCACCGTACGAATGTCATCACCAGTGTAATAAACGAGTTTCGGCCCTCCCTTACACTTAAGTAGATTTTTTCCTTCCTCTCGACCAGGGTTCGGAGCTCGACTTCTTTGATGGCTCTGGAGTTCCTACTACTAGCTCTCCCCGAGATCCGGAAACCAACGTCAAGCCCAACGATCTCGTCACCTATGTGAACCAAACGACGCCTAAGCGTCCGTGGGCAGAGGAATCATTCTCCTCCCAGCCCCGGGACGAAAATAGTATCTCCGGGCGATCGCGACCATTCACCATCAGAGTCGAGTGTTTTGTCTACTCACTCGCATGCGATGAGCGTCTCAATGGAATAGGTGAGACCGGATCGGGACTTGGTAGTAAACCCCAGTAGCAGATGGGGGAGAGAGAGATTAGTTCGAGTTCGTCTGTATTCGACGAAAGCGAACTTTCGCTGCGGACCCTGTGACTCCGAAAGGGGTCTCAGATGGAATGGATAGGAGTTCAGCGAACTATAACAAGCGTAATCGATTGATCCTTCATTTCCCCACGACCTTGTAATTTTTCGCGATGAGTGTCATTCAGCGTTTCATGATGGATGTCCGAGGACGTTGTATAACTTTCGTTCGACCGTCGACGTCAAGGTTCTCGATGACCTCGCGATGCGATCTTTGTTCGCGACAGAGTAAATACATGCAACGATATTGCGTTTTCTTTACCCTCCGGTAGAACTTCCGGAGGCAAAGAGTCGGTGATTCCTCATGAAAGCTTCAACTGCCCAATACCCGGGTTTCCACAAGAGCTAGGATCTGTGGGCTCACGGGGAGGAAATCGGATATCTTTCGTTTCTTCGTAATGTTTCTACGACATTGACGGAGTTCATCGCCTTTCAGGTTCTGAGCAGCTCCGAACGCGGAATAAACTCCCGTATCAAATTCCGCCAGGATCAGAAGCTCTACCCACCTTGCATTCGTACCAGCCCTTATCAGACTCTCTCACGCTGGTCAGATTGAGAGACGATTTTCCTGACAATGAGACTCTATCTTTGTAGTCGTCAGACGCGTGGGGTGGATATCCATCATACCTGTCGAAGAGAAAATGATATTATGCAGAGGACAATCAAGGATTCCTTTCGCGCCGGACGCGGTTTTCCGCCAAGCTCGATGATCCGTCGGTTCCTCGCTGATTCCTTGATGGGGTTGTGTTAGTCTTCCGGAGATCACACCGATTTCACTCAGTTCAGTAGTTTATTTTGGGACTCCATCGATAACGAGTTCATGATCGTCCAGCTCGCTCAAGAGAGGGATGTTCACATCTGACTCCTCGTTCCTTCTTCCCCGAGCGTCCGACGCGCGCTTACTTCTATTTGGATCTAGCTCTGAGCATTATTGGTGGTCCTTACAGTTGCCCCATCGGAGCTAAGGTCTGGGAATACGCGGGACTCAACGTCACTGGGGAGCTGCCGTGATCCGCTCCGGTACGCCGGTTTTGGCCGGAAGGACCTCTGTTCGGGCTTTGTCGACCACCTTGAGGGAACTATGACCAGAGCCTAGCGCCCCTGGTCGTAGCGATTAGTGAATCCGGGGCGCTTGCTATCGATACCGCTACTCCAGGACTTTCTTTCCGGGGATGCGAGCCCTTCCAAGGCTTCGCTTCGAGTTCTCATGTGGTTTCGTTTTAATGCAACGCCCATCGAGGACCTCTGCCGTAATATGGCAGCCTACGCCTACGCGGATCCGAAACTTCGAGTCTGTGCACAGTCTCAGTGGAGACTCCTTGTCGCCCGAAGGGGGATGACAATTGTTTCCCATCGGGGATCATCATGATTACAAAGTTCGCTGATAAACTGCACCGGCGCTCCGTGATTCTGGACACGCATCGCTTGATCGCGTGCCCTTACAACGACATAACGTGGACAGGCATACGTTAGAGGGGCCCAACAGCCGAGCAGCGAAGGTGGTGGTCGCTCTCGCCGTTCATGCTTCCAGACTCCTCATTTCCCCCATCGGGGACATGCACGTTCCTTTGGCGCATGACATCGATAACCGAAACATCGTATGAGAAACGAGCTGCCGCCTCGTCGGGCTCTACTTTGTCCGCTTTCCAATTGTTGGTCCTACCTGGAGGACTGCTGACCGATAAAGACAACTCGACGAGATGGGAGGGAGAGGTGAAGATCCTTCGGTCGCACCCACCGGGTGAAGTCTACCTCGCCGGCTGTCTCGCGACTTAATGGAGGCGTCTCCGACCCCCTCGCCTTTCGGCGGATCGGTAATGATATTCATCTTTTCGAAGCTGATAGCGAGGGACGTGTCGAGCTCGCGCGCAGGGCCGCGAGCTCCGACCACGGTTGTCCCCGACAGATACGGTGTTTGGCCCGCCGAGCTTGAGCGGTCAGACATCGCCTCGCGTCGGCTTGCGTCCGAGGGATCGGTTTTTCCCGCTTGGGAAACGTCAATCCTTCTTCCCTCCCCCGTGATTCCTCCTCATCGGAGCTCTCCCCCGGCAGAACTCGCTGTCATCCATTCGAAGCTCAAGAGCTTCAGGAATCGACCTCTCGCTTCTGGGGAAACGGGTCCAATCGGGAAAACGTGAGCGTGGGATGAGAGTGAATCGAAGCGAAATACGGAACGGAGTACAATCCCATCGCGAGGTCGATGTGTCTAGGGTAAGGGAATAGTTCAAAAAAGAGCATGACATAATGAATGTATCGACTGATGGATGGACAAGAGGCGTTTGGCGTTTCGAAGTTGAGCGTTTCGCGAGATGTTCACGAAAAAATACGGCCAGTCGTGTCGGGCGTGCGGAGGTCGGGCCTGGAAGCGCGGCGGTGGGGAAGAAGAAGGAGAGACGAGACATTTTCCTTCGCCAAACACTCAGCAGAAGTCTGCAGCCACGGAAAGCGCACGGAAAGCTGTAATTACGCCGAGGCCATCCCGAAACGAGAGATGTCCGAGGCTCTCCACGAAAATCGTCGTCCGTCGATGCATATCTCGCAACAAACGACGGAGCGATTCCGGATTCAGACTGCGAGCCGGGCTCTCCCGAGAACTTGGACCGAAGCGAAGTTTGCGAACGCCCGGTCTTCGATTCCTGCGCTGAATACGCCTTCTGACTTTGCCTTCGCATCGGGATACGAAGGGATGCTGCGTCCAATGAGCGGGTCGAAAGGACGAACGGATGGATGGATAAAAGGGGTGGTTACAAATTCTCCTCCAATTTCGCATGCATGGCTCTCGATTCGGATGATCAAGCCGACTCTCTCCTCCCTCGGAATAATCCGGCGCGTGGGTTCGCGCTGAATGCGGTCTGTTCCCAGATGTGTTTCTGTGAGCCTCCTCAAAGCTCCCTCCGTCCGCCCCGTCGTACACGTATATCTCGAACGGGTTCTGAAAGATATCGGATTTGACCGATACGATCCAGGAAAACTCCGCGGAATTCGCCGTGGTCCGCTCCCGAAAATACCGTTCCCCGATCGGAATTCTCGATAATTTCTCCCTCCCAGGCGGGCACGCGGAGAACGCCTCCAGTACGGTTCCGTTCTCTCGACGCGGCGGTGGAGATCCAGCAGCAACAGCGGCCGGCCCGGTACAGCGCCGCATGGGTATGCAGATAAGGCGCGTACAATGACGGTGAGGCAGCAGCGTTGAGTGCTTGAAGCGACGCGAGCGGTGAAGCTCAAATATGGCGCTAATTACCCCGGACACATGGGTTCGGGAACGACGATGGGGATACGCCGGCAGCAGTATTCATTGGCCCCCCTTCTCAGGACTCTCCATCGAGCAGAGGCACCGACGTCCCGCTGGGGACGGATGGAGCTGCCCCGGAGCAAGGCTTCCCGCTCGGGTTCTGCCCAAATGAATTCAGTTAGCCGACTATCTTGAACGACGGCTCCATTTCAGTCAGTCGATGCATTTCGAAAGAAGTTCGTCTCGGGTCGCTCCGATAAGAACCTGAGGTTTTCCGGAGCTCCCGACGGACCATCCTAGGCGTGCGTGGACTCGCCGCCGGCTTAATTTTTCACAGCATCGCGAATTAGAGTGAGATGGAATGAGTGAAGCCCGTCTCCGCCGTCAATGAGTCCTCTGGTGAGGAATCAGCACACAGATGCCTATCGGAAGCTGCCTTGAGTCGCCCGAACGGCTATCACAGACCGTCCGAACGGAAGAGTACGGTCGATTGATGGGCTGTTTTAATGGGGGATTGAGCACTGTGTGATTTCGGTTGTAATTTGTACGAACTGCTCAAACTTTGAAAGATAGCGCACCGTCGAACCGTACGGATCGGAACCTGCGAGCCGAGTAATTAAATTCAAATATCGAACCGATGGATGATGGGAGTTCGACCCCCGCAAACACTGAGCTCGCTGTATGCATTCGCCAGCAGTCGGTCGCTGTGGCTCGAGACGGCACGAACCTACTCTGCGCCTGATTTTGAAAGCAGAGGAATATCTGCATCGACTGGGGGCTGGTGGAGCGGTAAGAGCATCAACGACGGTCTCGGTGGATCTTCCTGGTGGAAATTCTCGTGGCAAGAGTCTGCTCATCCGGGATTGTTCCCCTCTGCTGTGCGTCGAAATCGGCTAATAGGGCAGTTTCGAACTGATTTGGCGTTTTCCGGCTCGGCTTGTTCCCGAGCTCGTTCCAGGACAGCTTGGAGAGGGAAGCCCCGCGCGTTGCTTCGAAGACAAAGTTCGTGCGATTTAGTCACAACAGTCCTAGCCTTCGGGATTGTTGCTCGTGAGTCCGAATCGCGTTCGGAGTTGCGTCGGAATAAACCCGGCAGTCGATTGAAAGCGCCGCGCCCTGTTTGCCCGGGGCGTGTACTCAATGAAGGATGTGAAGGCGGAAAAAAAAGAAAATAAAGGAGAAGCAAAAACGAAAGGGGAGCGAAGCGAGAAACGCGACTCTGGCGTGACGAGGGAGGAGGAGCCGAACTCTTATAATGCTATGCATGAAGCAACAGCCATCGAACGAATTTTCGCGGGTAGGTTCAACTTATACTCTCAGCCCAGTTTTGAGCGGAGCTTGTTTTTCTCCCCTCCTCTCCCTGACTTACATCGAGTTCATCCTCGGGATTCGGTCTCTCCAGATCAAACATTACCACGCAGCCCTCCGTGATTACTCAAGCAGCCTCGTCCGAGGCGCGAACAAAGATGGTTTCGCAATGCGGGAGTTGATATAACGGGATGGTTCGACCCGTGCAGCATGCCATGGGAGGCTTGGCCTTTCTCCAACGCTCCGAGGTCGGGAACGCTGATTCCTTCTCTCGCAGCCCCTCTCACTTCGAAAACCCATTCTCGAACCTGGATTGAATTTCGAGAGGACGCACGCCAGCAAAGTCAGTCGGCGAAAACGGTGATGGCGTAGATTCCGGCAGAAATTGCTCTACGGAAGAGAAAACACGAGAGAAGACGCGCAAAGATCTGCGGCTCGACGCGGCGTGAGGCCGAATGCAGTCTGCCGGGATGTTCTGTCTGCCCACTGTGCCCTCCAGTCAGGAGTCAGGAAGGGTCGATGGCTCGATCGATTCGGGCGCTCGCGGGACTCCGTCTTTCCGGGGGAGATGATATCTCTTCCTGATCGGCACGATTCAGGTGGGATCCTGATCGAGTCGGAGGATGCCTTTTCAGCTCGGCGAATGCCTGACCGGGACATCATGCTAGAGATTCGGCTAAAGGCGCAACCGGAGTTGCGCAATCAGAATTGAATTCCGGATTTACTCGGTGCTGATAAAATCGCAACTCCAGTTCCCCGTAGAGCTTCATTTGACAGCGTACCCTCTCTCTGTCTTTTCTTCTCCAGCGGTGTTTACCCCGTATTTCTGACACTCGGGAAGGATCTCAATGTCATTCTTCGAGGTTTCTAGCCATTTCTCCTTCGAGTGAACTCCCACCCCGCACAAGCTGCTGTGCATTCGATCAGGAACTCGATGACTCTACGGAGCAAGGAACAAAGAGTCCCGGAAGGAGAGTCTACCTGGCGAAACATAAGAAGACGAGCGCACTATGCTGCTTCGTGATGCGATTCGCTGATCAACAGCCTTTCCGGACTTATTTTTTACTGCGATCACTCCGGGAATGGTCCCTGGGGATCACTTTCAAACTACAAGTTCGCAGCCTCAAAAGCGATTCGGAGAGCAGCTGCACAGGAGCCCACACGCATTGTACCTTCTCCCGGGGGCAGAAAGAGAGAGGCAGATATCGTCTCGCTGGCAGCCGACTCAAGAATGTACACAGTTTGACTATCGATATCGGGTCATATTTCTTGCGATCTATAGCAGACTGACAAGGATTCGTTTCTGAATGAGGTCGAGCAGATTTCCACGAATCATTTGCCATCCTGACAGATAGGGGGGAGTTCGCGACGAGTTGCGATGCTAATTTCGGGAAAGGGGGTCGTCCAGGCTGCAGAAGACGAAAATAAAACCCGGAGCTTTCGTCAGGGTGAAGCTCGAGAGCGCTGCTTGACTCCTCTGAAGAGAGAGGGGCGAGCGCGAACCGGAAAAACCGAGAACCCCGAGCGTTTGGACGAAATACCATGGATCTAGAGCGTGTCCCACCGGAAACAAGTCAAGAAATCAGGCAGGAGGAGTCCATATTTTTCCTCACACACTCGTCCGGCCCTTTTCGTGGGGACAAACTGAGAGACATTCATGGCCCGTGGCACGGAAGTCAGCCACGGGTCCGCCATGACCTGAGGAATCTTCCCCGGCTCTCCCCTGGAGAGGCTGGCCACGAGTTTTCTGAAGCGAAAACCGTTCTGGGTTTCCGTGCGAGGTGGTCGGCTACCGGCAAGGAATCGGTGAAATCTCGGTCGAGAAGTCGTCAATGAAGTCGCTCGGACACCCCTGATTTGAAGTTTGCGTCGGAGCCGCTGCTAATCTCGAAGTACCGGTCAGACGAGCTCCTCGGACACGACTCTTCTTATCGAATATATGCTCGTAGCCAGATACCTATATGAGGGGAAGCGTGCGACGTATTTGTCTATATGTATATGCATGTATGTCTGAACGTTTGTTCAGTCCTATTTGTCTGTCTCAGTGTACATATTTGCGCTCGGCTCATTGGCTCGCTATCGGAGCCGCCAGAGCGACAGCCAACATCGAGCAGAAATATGTCGAGAGCACAATCTGGTATCGGAGGAATATTCCACTGGACAGAGTCTCCTCAATACGGGATCCCAAAGCTCTGACAGTACGAGCGTGGCGCTAAAAGGGTACGCTATCTCCGCCATGTCTATGTGTCCGTGGAACACTCACCATATGTAGATGGGGATTTTGTGGTCTTTCTTGTGCCATTGCACCAGGTAGGGCACCGGAGTTCCATCAGGATATTCAAATGGGCAATCTAAGATGACGTTGTCACCTTGCGTTGCCGATTTCTGAGGAAGCTCTTCCCCGTTGCCTGCAAGGTAAAAAAAAAGAGAAAAATTGACGTTGATTCACGCGACGCACCTAAGCTGTTCGTGATGCGAACATAAATCACTTCAAAGCCATGCGCGGTTACGCTCGCTTCGGCAGGGGAAAAATGCGAGATCCTTTTCAACATTTGTAACTCAAGCAGCCGCCGCCGCCGTAACTTCAATCCGTCGTACGGTCGAGCCGGCGAGCCGGGCCGCCGTTTATCCATCAATCATTCACTGGCACCATCCTTCTGATTTACTCTATCGCATGCAGAGGCAAAGCCATGTTGTACCCCGGCGGCTAAAGCGATTGGCTTCCGATATTTCATGCCAGCCCCAACGGAGCGGTGGCGACGGACCGCCACCAGTGGGCGATGCCTACTTATTGAATGTATGCACGCTCTCTGTCGCTCGACTCCCTCCAAATCTCCCATCTCCCGTCCATACTTCTCGCTCGCCCCGGCCCCATTGGATGCTCTCTATCGTCTTCCGAACAAATTTCCTCTGTTCCGAATACAGTCGACTACGACGTCGACGGAGGCGGCGACGACGACGACTGGATCGGAGGTCGATAAAAAGATTGATGTTGGCAGAACCAACCAAAACGATGGCCGAGCAGCGAAAAAGAGCGAAGGGGCTCGTGCGAATTGGGTTTGTGTCAACCCCGCACTCCGGAGAGCCATGCATTGTTTCCTTTCGCACGGAGCTCTTGTACTTTCCCCCAATTATTGTTACGTTCGGATTTCCCCCGTTCGCGGGAAGAAGTAAGGAAATCGGTAGCGAAAATGCGAATCGACGGGTTCTTTTCGTCGACGGGAACATCGTCGAGATTTGGCGCGCAGCTGAGGTGGAAACATTCGAGTCGAACTTCGTGCCGCGTGCCGCTAAACGTCGAATCATGATAAAATGTTTGTGGAGAGCAATAACGCCGAGTGCCGGCTAGGGGAATGAGACTGTCGGGGCTCCCCTTCATCGTCGAGGAACTTTTTGACGCAGATCGACTGCCGGAAACGAGACGAACCCCAGACGACGACGGCGGCGGTGGGGACGGATGGAAGAAAAGGACGCCGACGCGAAAGACTCCGCGAAAAAACCTTTAGCGTGATTTCTGCTTCGTCGACGACACCGGAGGCAAGCTCCCGCTCGGCGGTCGGTCGGTTGGTCGGACGGGTGAGCGAGCGACCGGGAAGAGTTCCGTCGCTGCTAGCGTGCGAGCGATGGGAGGCCGGTTCCGAAAATGGAGGCAGGACTCCGTTCTCTCGAAGAACAAGTTCCCATATTTCTTCCACCCTCCGTTGTCATCTTCTTCGCGGTGGCCGTCGCCAGTGACAACGTTTTTTTTCCGTCGGAAAGTCCTTCGACGGACTGGGGGGCTCCGTCTCGAGAAAAAAAACACGTTCGAGTGACGTAGGGACCAATCAATCGAGCGAATCGATGACACCGCGGAACAGCATCGCGGGGTGGTTTGCGTGTATGATACGTGAAATAAAATTCTGACGCGTGACGAGGATGCTCCCATGTACGGGAAGTCTATTATTCCACCAGCTGAGAAGTTACCGGAATCGTTATCAGCAGCCGGCAACTTGCTCATCGGAATACGCCAGCGATCAACTCAGGCTGACTAAGACTCCGATGCTCTCCTCCTTCGTCCTCAGGCCCCGGAGCTTCTCCGAAGGAGGAGCACGGAAGTCGAAGGATGGTGGAGGAGCGCCGCCGGCTCCCATTCTGTCAATGTCGTCCTCATTATTCTGTTGCCTTGACCTCGTATATCACGAAGTTAACAAATTGTTCGAGCGGTTTCGAGCCATTGTTTCCCTCTCTGTTGAAAGCCATAAATTCCAGGAGTCGCTCGCGGCTCGAGTGACTTCGGCGGCACGGCTGAACGAAAAACTCAAGAGAAAAAAGCGGTGTCAGATCAAGTCAATGACGATGAGAATATCCCGCGCCCCGCGTCGACGACGACGACAACGGGAACGGTGGTGCCGACGACGACCTGGGTCGAGTGCAAAGAGACGGGATAAGCGCGTCTCGTTTTTTCAGCGCGGAAAAATATTTTTTGTGCCTACGTAGCTTAATGATGTCGTTGTGCTCGGAAACCGGAGAGCACCGCACGGAAGCGAGCGAGCGAGACCGAACGCGAGGGCGAGGTGAAGGATAGGAGAGGGAGGAAGACTTTGCATGGAGAATGAATAGGGGAATGGGTCAGCTATTCATGCTCTCCTTTTTTCTCCTCTTTCCCCCTCACCCCGAAAAACGTGTCCGGAGGTTTCCGTGCAGGCAGATTTTTCCGCCTCTGTTGATCGTCTCCTTCGTTCTTCCGCACGCATGCTGCTTTTCAGAACGCATCATACAATCCTGATTTTCGGACCATGGATCGGGCCTCGCAAAAGTAGCGAGGTTCCTAAGGGAATTCTCCTCAGCTAGATATTAGTTCTTCTTTGATCCTTTCCTCTTCCTTTCCTCTCCTCCAAGCAGCATCGGAAACACCCGCGGATGCAGTATACCCATTAACATTCATCACGTCACGAATTCCGGTGCCATTAATCGGGAGCGGGGAGGATTCCTCAGAGCACTGGACCCCTCTCTCAAATCGATCTGCTGGGTTCCAGCTCCGAGCGCAGAACAGCTGCATCTCACGCATAGGAGATATTATTTCGATCGGACCGTCGAATCTGATGGAATTTCCATTCAGAGGCAAATTGACTGTTCACGCGGCTCTCAGGGTAAATAGCTCGGTTAACTGACCAAGTGATTACTCAATACATATGTCAACGCTTGCCTGGGGGTCGTCTTGCCCGTCTCGGGCAATCCGCATCCTTTCGGTCGTGCTCGGAATCTGCCAAAACTGGCTCAACGACTGACTGCCCTGCCGTCCGCTCCCCGACCCTTCGTCAGTCTTCCGAAAGCCTCATCCTCAGGGGAGGGCTCGCCTGACCGACTGTAATGGAGGAGGCGGTGTGAAGAACCTTTCAGAACATCATGATGACAAGCGGCCAACCCACCGAGCAGGCCAAGAACCCACATTGAAGTGGGGTGTTGGTTGCCATTAGGGATCGCCGGCCTGTCGGCCTATCCGCTGGCTGCTCACTTCTTCCTTTACGAGCCGACGTCGGTCTACCCGTCAACCTTCCAACTTGAAGCTACCAAGCAAGCAATCACCGGCACAACAAAAGTTTGCATCGGACGGCTACGTCTCAAAGAAGAGGATTCCACGCAGGACAATCACTCGGCTGCCGAGCTAGCGGCAGCCTCCCAGGCCGGACTTGCTTATCAAGTCCGCGTTAGCTTTCATTGCACGCGCGGTTGCCGGCCGTCCAAGCCCCCAGTGCCGCTCGTCCCACAGTTCCCCTCCGACGGCGCCAAATTCTCGCCGTTGGTTGCATTGTCGCGTCGGTGTCTTTTGGAGCAAACGGGAGATAATTATTGACACCATTACGCCGCGGCTAATTTAGGTTTCCGGGGGGCGAAAGAGTAAGGAGGGGGGGGGGGCGATATTCTCGGGAGCTATTGCCGCACTGTCCTTCGACGCATATCTATTTATTGCACGCCTCCGAGCTTATCTAGCGAAAGCGTTCCGAGCCCACTCTACAACATCATGGTTGAAGCGATTCCAACGGCGGCTTCGCGGCCGAAGGGGTGCTCACGCAAAGTCCGAGAGCTGAATTGATTTCCGAGGCTCTGGGGGACTCCCGTAGAACCAAGAGAGAAGTCTCCCGTTCTGCTTCCTCTGTGCCGGACCAGATGAGCATCCAGTCGATAATTATTAATGTGTAACATGATGTGTGCATCGTGCGAATGAATTCTCCGCTTCTTCCAACAAGAGCTCGCTGCTTCCGTTTCACTCGACAAAGCTCAGACGAAGGATTAACGTTCATTCACCGAGTGGATTTTGCCTTTACCAGTCGCTTCATTCGCGAGGGGAATTTTCTACCTGAGCGAGCCCGGTGTCGCATTTGCTCCAACGCAGGACTGATCATGGTCATCTATTTTCGTTCACGGCTCGGGCACGTGGCTCCTATTCATGCTCTATTTTTTAGAGGAAAGGGTAATTCGGTCGTGCCTCGAGCGAGCACCGCATGTAGCGGCGGCTTGCTTCATATTTTTCGGACGATGGGGGCTTTCCAACACGTAGCGTTCTCACATCCGTTTCTCGACCCGTTTCCGGAGGAACTTCGAGACTCCTTCGTGGAAGAAGGCATGCTGAGTCGCCGCGGATGAGCCCGCACCCCAACTTTGGACATCAGGATTTCTCCCACGATAATTCCCGACGTCGCGTCGTCGATTATACGTCTATCGATCATCGTAGCGACTTCCTCCACATCCCGGATGGCGCGGAACGCACGGAGCGTAGGAGTTGAAGTCCACGCGAAGAAGCTACGATTGAGCTCAAGGTGAGTCTAGCAATCGAAAGACGTGTCCCTCAGTCTGTCCATAGGCGGCTGCCTAGTCGAGACTCCGTTTGTGAGTCAGAAGCTTCGATTTCCTCTCTAGGTGCTTTGCGTGATTGGGAGAGCTACTCTACGCAGAGGGAGTGCACGGAGAGGGTCAGTGGGAGAATGAGCAACCGGTCTAAAGCGTTGTCAGAGCCCAAGTACATCCAATGACGACATCACCGATGACGGTAGCGGGGGTGCCGACAACAATCAACGCAGACCTAGCTTGATGTTCGCCGAGAGAATTACCTAGCCGTGATTGATCGAACGCGGACAGAGACACAACGGCAATAGATTGTCGTCTTCGCCGGGCCCACGTTGTGTGAATCGCAAGTAGACACGGCAAGGGCCCATTTCGGATCAGGGCTTTGACGGGAGTCGCTAGGTCGAGTGTTTCTCGAACAGAAGTAGTCTGCTGGGTAAGCAGCTCGCGACCACTGGTCTCATCACACGGTACGTCTGTTCAAGCTAGATGCCTCTCGGCGGGCCAGAGCATACGCTTTATGGATGTGACCTCCATCCTTCAGAGTGCCTCGGCCTCCGGCTCCGTTACTCTCAGCTCAGTTCTA